GATAGCCATGGAGTTTGAAACATTTGTCTTTAATATGCTCTAGCACCCACAATTGGAACACAAAGGTATATCCTTCCTTCTAGTTTGAGGTTTTTAACTATTAGCATCATTTATATAAAATGCTAGGGTTTGATAATTGTCACTAGACACAACATTGATAATATGCTGTCTCTCTTCTTGAACAAAACGTGACTAATTGAAGGTAATGGCTCCATGAGAAGGATTTATCTGTGAATATGATTGAAACTCTCATTTAAACGAAGCAAGAAAGTTAAAACATACTCACGACTAATGTAATTGACCAATGGATTAAATCCTCCATAAACGCAATTGTGAATTGTGTGAAACTCACCCAATTCCCCCAAAGGTCTTTGATCTTAGAATAGTAAGCACCTACTGAAAGAATTCCTTGAGTGCATGTGATGAAATATTTGCGGAGCTAAAACAAAAAGGGCCATTATTTTGAAAATGTTTTTGAAGATCATTCCAAATTACCGCTATAGTGGATGAATACATGATGCTAGCGGTGAGTTCTTTGGAAATCATATTTAATAGCTAAGAAGCAACGACATTTTCATTTCTAAACCAAATCGCATATTGAGGATCGTCATCAAGAGGTTGTGGAATCGAACCATCAATGAATCCAATCTTGTTCTTCACACCAAGAGAGATAAGCATTGCACAACTCCATGATGGATAATTCTCTTCGATCAATAGGTGCGAGAGATCAATAGGTGTGAGACGAGAACAAATCCAAGATGATCTAAGTGATGAACGAAGAAAAGATTTTGTTGTTGATCTTTTATAAAAACAAACTAGAAAAATTGAATCAATAAAAAGATATACGTGTAAACCTAAATCAAAACTTGCAATAAGTATTGAACATGCAAGAATAGATTAAAAATATTATGGCACCATATTGAACCTACATGAACATGATAAGAAAAGTTGTAATCATGTAAAAAATAATGAAAAGAGTAGAAAGAGAGCAATGTTCCTTTTGTTATCTTAATTTATCAAAATGATCTAAAATGATCAAAAGTTGGTTACAATTTAGAGTCTTTCCCTCTTTTATATTACACCTTTGGCATAAAAATATGTGCGTACTAACTAACTAAGTCAGTTACTTAACTAACTAACATAGAGTTGTAATATCTCTCTTATGATCTTGGAGTATTTGACTCAAGTTTTTTTTTTAACTATGCCTTATTAACTATTTAGACTTGCACAATGACTTTTCTAAATATTGTAACATATCTTCAATGAAGGAATAGTAAATATGAACATAGGGATGAAACTAACCTCTTCTTCTAATGACATTGGTTTTTTTTACATTGAGACTAATTAGTCAATATGAAAAGGAAGACAAGAAGAAAACTTCAACCTCATCATTTAGTGTTCAATATATTTATATTCCTTTTTTTATCAATTATATGAACTTTTTCATAATAAAAAAGAAAGACTTGTATCAAAACTCAACAAATGTCATTTGTCTTTAGATATTGAGACTATCAAATTAATCTTTACCAAAAAAAAAAATTCACACATGATATATGAACTCGTTCGTATCAGAAAGTGAGACTCGTATCAAAGCGACTGTCTAGGGTAACTATTTCTCCCCCTTTTCTCTAATTCTATGCTAAGAATCAAATTCAACTGCGATTGAATCTAAAATTTTCATTAAATATTTTTTTCATTCTCGAATTTAATATCTATTTTCAATTTTAATAGGTGCGAGAATATCGAAGGGTGCTTCTTCTTCTACAAAAATCAACATGGTATGTGATCTTAGTTTTCTTGCCTATGTACTTCCTTGTATGCTAAATAGTGGAATATTCAACTAACTCGCATCGATCTCTTAGTTATATATTCTCGTTTCATTTCATTTTCAAAAAAAATGGATCTAATTCGTTGCGTTAAGGTAAATTGTTCTTCTGAGATCGATATAAGCTCTTTAATTTTGGTTACAATATATAGCGTTTCATTTGAGTACGAAATATTCAGATATAAATCAAAATAACTTTACAATTATGCGTCTTTATCTTCTATATTTTTTAATGCATTATTGGTCTCAATTATATTTACATGGAATATTTGATGTGTTGGTTGCTACCATATTTATCTTTGAAAACCTTAAAGCTTTTAATCACATTAGTCTTATTATTGCAAAAATTTATCATTCCAATTCATTCATTTTAAAGCATGATTAAACTAAACTACAAAATCACATGATTTATTTTCAAAATAGTAGAAAATCACATAGAATTTTAGCATTTATATAATTCAAGATCATATGAGATGATATTAATTGAAGAAAGATGAACTTTTATTTTCAATTTTCTATAGATTTCATTATAGACTTAATGATATTAGTTTAATTTGTAGGGTGAGCATGTGACCCAAAGTAATGTTAAAAAGCCAGTGTGGCTTGAGGATTTTCTTGAGGGAAATTTCTCTAACTCATGTTCTCTTCATCAGACTCATAAAAATGAGTTGTTTAAGTACTGTATTTATTGCAATAAGTTATGCTGTCGATTTTGTGTATCTTTTGGTCTTCATCGCCATCATAAGATGCTTAAAGTATCTAGACATGCTTACAAGGATGTTGTCTCCCGGGGTGCAATGGGAAAGTACTTTGATTGTTCCCAAATTCAGGTATGATTTATAGCTTCACTTTAAATTTATGACTAAATATTTTTACACAACTATGAACTATGAAGCACTGCAAGAGGGAGAGGGTGGTAAAACCAACCCATTCCCCTGGACACCTATTTTGTTTTGTCCACACTTTTTTTAACATAAATTATAGTTTAAGTCTTCCAGTATGAATATGTCAGTTTAGCTTTACTCTATTTTTTTAATGTTTTTATGGAGGCAGATATTAGCATAAATATTTATAGTTTTTATATTTTAGATGTGTAGTGTCTGCGAGTCTGTCATATTTTAATTTTTTTTAGAATAGATCAAGGTTTTAAGTCTACACTCTACTTAATGTTTGTCCCGTCCCATTTTACTCTGATGTTTTGCAAAGCAGATTTGAACAGACATGCTTCTTTGTCACCCTTACCTCTAGAAGTAGGCGTGTCGGAGTGTCTGATACTTGTGTGACACACATACACAATATGTGTCAGAAAAGTCAAACATGTGTTGTTAAAGCTTGACAAATGTCCTTAAAAAATGTTTTCTCTTTGCTTTGACAGTCTTTGAATTGATGTTTGATATTTGTATGACATTCATATATTTTAAGAAAAAATATATATTTTTTCTTTATTTCAAGATACCTTATACATTATTTTATATAAATCTCGCACATATTTAAAAAAGAAAATATATATTGAAGTAATCTTATCATTCAAGAATTAAAAATATTAGTTTTGATTAAAATATTTTCAATTTTTTTATTAAAAAATGAATAAATGAAGCTCAAATACAATCATATATACAACGGTGTTGGTATTCTATTTTTTTACATTGTTATGTTGGAGTATTTGTGTTTATGTAGTGTCTCGGTGTGCGCGTCAGAGGTTGTGCTGAGAGCCGTTTTAAACTTTTGAGAGATTTTATATAAAAAGTTGAAGTTAACTCCAGTCCAGTCGTGAATTTTTTAGGAGGCTCTATTAAACTGTATATTAATTGTAGAATATTCGTATAAAAACCATTTTTGCTATAATAGACATGTGTTTCATAGCACACCACTATTAAAATTTATGTGATTTTCACAACAAATTTGTATGCTTTTGGTTATTTTTTCTCTCTCATATTGTAAATCTATCCTTTAATTTTACAAAACATTACAAATTTAATCAGATAGTTTATCTGGTTATAAATAACCAGTTAACTGATAAGTTAGCTTAGAACATTTAGTTGATAAATTCATCTGTTATAACCTAAAGTGTGACTTATATTTTATATTTTCAAAGATCCCAAAAACCTAAAAACTAATTCAACATTTTGAATCTATTTTCACTATGTCCCTTGATTTGCTTATTTGCTTGTAGACATACAAATGCAAGAGGCGGGTGGTTATTTCTCTGAATCCTCTCCCACTCAATGAGCCATCATCAAATGTTGAAGAATCATGCAAAGCTTGCAACAAAAAGTTGAATGAACCTCATTTATATAGCTACTGCAGCATTTCTTGCAAGGTATATATAAACTATATACTATTGTCCTCAAATTTTGATTCCATCCCTAACATATATATATATTTAATGTGTTTGATTTTCTTATATGAACTTTCATAAGGTTGAAGCCCTTTCGGAAAAGCCTGCACCTGAGGATCCTCCTAGCATAATAATAATTGAGTCTTCCTCAGAACCTTCTATGGAGAGTCTTCCTCGTCCTCGTCGTCTTCCCCGACAAACACAGGAGATAACTTCTGAACCTTCCAAAAGAAAAAGGAGAAGAAAGGGAAGCCCCCATAGAAGCCCCTTACTCTAAAAGATTCAAGTGGATCACATATACTACTCATGTTGTAATGAAGTTTAGAACTATTTTTTTTTGTGATTTATATCTTCTTATTATCATGGATCAGGATTCTCTGCTATAGAGATTGCATACATTTTCATACTATGATTAATCATAGCCGTTGATTTTAGATTGGATGATTAAGATGAAAGCAAGTTTAGAAATAAAATAATTCCCCTAAAATAGATATGTATAGCATATTCACAAATCATCAAATGAATTAAACTAAATTAACTCATGAATGTGATTAAATGACCTGGTCAAACAGTTAACTAATGGTGTTGTGTCCATGCAAATTCCAAAGGACAAACAAACATTTGCGAAACAATAGCTGCATGTACTCCATCCATTTCTTAAACTTCAAAAATGGAGCAAACCATATATAACTCAATCTCTTTGTTGTTTTACTTTATCCTCTCACCATTTGCGTGCTAGCTAGCTTTCAATTATTTTTTCACAGAAATTGACAATACTTATAGCTAGTACGAGAGAGAAGAGATTAAATTAAACTAAACTAAATTAACTAATTAATCATGTCTTTCAGCGGAACTCAGCAGAAATGCAAGACTTGCGATAAAACTGTTCATTTGGTTGATACAGTATCGGCTGATGGTAATGTTTATCATAAAAACTGCTTCAGATGTCATCAATGCAATGGCCTTCTTGCGGTAATATATATTAAAAATAGCATTCTTTGTGTTACAAATCGGTTTTGTAACGAAGAATTACGTAAAGTTCAGTTCAAATGTAATTTATTAGTGATTTATATTTTCAGATGAGCAGCTATACATCAAATGAAGGAGTTTTGTATTGCAAGACTCATGCTGAGCAGCTTTTGAAGGATTCTGCAATCAAGAGATCCCTGTCAGGTATATTATAATATTAATAAGATCAATTTTTATGTACTTTTCCATATCAAATTATGATTATAGTTTGTGTTTATTGCTTTTTGAATGCCAAATAATCACTTAATTTTAATTGTTTCATAATTTTCAAACAGCAGGAAAGCCCAGCGAGCTGGTGTGTTTTCTATTCACTCATTTCCTTAGTTTCAAATTTCAATATTGTTCTTTTATATGTTTTGGGTTTACATTATCTTTTTTTTTCATTTGAGTTATAGCCTAGGGCCCCAAGCAAACTTTCTGCTTTCTTCTCTGGGACTCAAGAAAAATGTTCAGCATGCAAGAAAACTGTATATCCATTGGAAAAGGTATAGATATTTAGGTTAATTTTCTATAAAGCACTGATACGTACACAGACATTAGACACGATACTGACATTGATAAATTGTGAATGTGTGATAATGTTTTTAGTGGGACATTGTTGCTGATCATAATTTGTGGAATTTTGTTGATGACAGTTGACAGTGGAAGGTGAATTTTACCACAAATCATGCTTTAGGTGTACACATGCAGGATGTTTTCTGAGCCCTTCATCGTATGCTGCTCTTGACGGATTCATATACTGCAAACCACACTTTTCTCAGCTGTTTAAGGCTAAAGGTAGCTATAGTTATCTCTCCAAACAAGCTTCATTGAAGAAAAACGAGGAAGCGATGCAACAGGCTGCAGAAGAGAAATCAGGCGATAATTCAGAAGCAGCATCCGACGCAGAAACAAAGGAAGAAGAACAAGATCCTGCTGCTGTAACAGAAGAGGCGTAGTAGGCTGATTATTCAACAAGGTTGCATCTTTGTATGGTGTCTTTCGGTATGGTGTTGGTTAGCCCCAAATTTTGATTGGGTGGATCTTGTGGACTTGTGTCATTTGGGAGGATTGTCATGCAAAAGTGCTATCATGTGTTTCATTGTTTCATTAATTTGTTTGTGAAAAGATATTGGATGATGATAAATAATGTTATGTTATGTAGTAGATGTGTTTCAGAAATCAGAGTCTATGATGTATTCCCCTACTTATTTTCATATGTATGTATTCTTTCTTCATGTGTTACCAAATCTTGCTTCTTCATATTAAGTATATATTGCAGTTATAACTTATAATTTGTTGTTATTTTTATTGTACAAACATTAAAACTTGATTGGTTGATAATGGAATATAAAGTATAAAAACGATCAAAATCCTTCATCTACGTTACATAGCCCACTCCATCTTCTATTATTGAATCTATGCACAATTGAAAGAAAATGGCATATTCCAATTGTTGTACATTACTTTGTAGAATGAAAGGTGAAAAATAAAAAGAGATTGAAACAAGGCCTTAAATAGAGGTTTTTGAGTATATCAGCTAGCTTTTTATGAGACTTTACATGGAAAATGTTTTAAACCTTATTTCAAAGGCCTCAGGACAAAAAAGAAGACGAGAAAAAATGAGAAGACTGAAAAAAAAGTAAAATTATTGAAAAAATCATTAATAAATGAAAGAAAAACAAATTTTAGAAAAAAAAGAATTTTACCTTTGTGAGAATGTTAGCTGGGATTTTCAACCAATGAAAAAAATTCAGCGAATAAGAAAAAGTCTTGGAAGAGTAGTGGTTTAACTACACTTAGGGGACTTAGAGAATTTTTTGTTGTTGAAGTGAGTGGTTCGACATCAAGCACTTCGACCAGGCAGACAACGTCGAAGTAAAGTCAGTCGAAGAAGCGGTTGTTTAGACGCAATTTTTGTCATGTTCAAATCTTGATAACTGCTTGAGTTCTTATCTCAGAGGGACACATGGAGAAAATTGAAAAGCAAACTAAGTGCAGAATTGCACGTGGCGAACCAAAGGAAAAAGAACGTTAGGGTGGTTATTTTAGACTTTTATAAATAGTAGTTCATTTTAGTGGCTTAGGTGTGTTCATTTGTATTACAAAAAATCTCACAAAGAAACTCAAAGTATAAGCGTTAAGAGAAACGAGCGAATGACTAAGAGAATGTAAGCACAGATGAAACATCATGTTTACTGTGCAATACAAAGTTTTTTAATTCATTCAATTTAAATAATTTTCATCTTTTCCCAACCTTTAGTTTTCGTTTGAATACTTTCAGTATTGTTACTTTTACTTTACAATTTTTGCAAAAAAGTTTAGAAACATACTATCACGTTATTCCCACACATCTCCTTCGACCTAAGACACGAAAAGAGTAAACAATAAACAAGTTCTTAACCATTATGTCCTAAGGATTCACTAGTTGATCCTGCTAGTAAACCATATATTTGGAGACTAGCGATTATTTACCATTTTTCAGGTAAAACAGAGAAATGCAAGGAGTTTTCATAGAGTCGCGAGGCATTTCCCCACCATTCAAGAAACGACAGGGCGTTTAAGAAAATGGGAGGAATTTCTCTAATGGTCGGAAAAGCAAGGCGTGTGAAAATCTTTTGGCAATCTTAAATGACCATGACCATTTTAACTTTAACTTTCCAAGAAGCAATCATGTTTCAGGCCAACCATAATGATCCCCGATCGACCACTTGGAAGAAATTGAAATTTTCCTAGAACATTCTCAGCGCATGAGAATTATCCTATAGACAAGTACAAGTGGTCTAAGACTCAGATACGTCCAATGGCTCTCTGTCTCTCACGCCTAACAAAGAGTGAGTTGTTATAACCGTCTCACTATATAAAGAACAAGCATGAATACTCCAGGTACACAATTTCAAATTAAATATACATTCACTCTTCTCCTTCACATACTCACTTAAACGTTGGAGTGCTAACTTTACAAGTCATCCCCCTCTGCTTCACATTGGAAACTCAAATCCACTATGATCCTCCACAAACCACCAATTCACCATTCATTTCTGGTTCCGCAACGGAACAATGGCGCCGTATGTGAGAATTGATTTTGGATTCCCTTGTTTTCCACAATTGCACGTTCGCTCGTCGATTCATTTATATGAAACCTTTTTAGTTTATCGGATCAAGAGTTCTCAAAATCAAACATGAAGATCCATCTGTTAGATGAAGGTGACTTATATAGAGGGGGTGAACAGATCCCCAATTAAAAATTTCTTTACAAAAACTGTCTTAAAAAACAATGGCTAGTAGAAGTAACTTGGATTGAGTCGTCTAAACTGAACCGATATTGAAAAGTTCGGATATGCGCATATGAAAATCAATCAAAGATAATGATAAACAGCGCAGCCAATATATTTCAACCATAATCCCTTGAAAGCAACTCAACAAAAAATGTTATATCCAATGATAAATCACAAAAAAATATTATTAAGGAAAATTCACCAACACGAACCACCCTCATAAATTGCCCTAACTCTCGAAAAAAGGACGGAACAGGGGAACTTGTTGGTGTAACATGATAAGCCATTGATTTAGGACATTACACCTAAAGGTGTGTATTATTACAAAGAGATGGAAGAACAGCCTACAAGGGGGCTTCCAAGACAAATACTCAGCCCAGAATTGAAACGCCTTTATAAAAGCCCAAGCACCAGGATGAGCTGTGAAGGACAACCTTCAAAAATATCAACACTTCCACTTCAAACTCAGATAAAGGAAACTGTAGGTTTATCCGAGTGAACAAACATTCATAAAAAGGAATGGAGTACCCCTCGAAACTATTACACACCCTTTTAACCGATTCTACAAGGAGATCTAGCTAGTCAGATAATCGGCGGGCTACGATGTTAGTCGCATTCACGATCACATGATCACTTAAAAAATAAGGGGTTCCCAATATCTTGGACTCCACCCAACTATATTTGTTCATGCGAGCCGACTTTACTAACGGGACCCCTTTTAGAGGTATATCATCATCTCAAAATATCTCGAAGGGTTTGAGCCAACTGACACCGTCTGGAAGAGCTTTATGCGTCAAATAATCCTTAACCTCGGCACCACTCAGATCATGGTAATAAGAAGCATGGTAAGTTTCGGTGAAATTTCGGGCTTCTTCCTTATCTAAAGCATCGACCTCAATCTTCGGGGTAATCAAAGCAAGGGAGGACAATTCTCCTATGATTATAAATGGTGCAGGCGCTATATGACTACATGATCACCCCTACATCTTCTTCAGTAAGAATAGTCTTGAAATAAGACTCATTAGAGGAAATTTCTCTATCAAGAGAATCACTAAAAAAATTCTCTAACTCTAAATCATTAGACACATATAACAATGGGACTTGGTTGATCATTAACTGAACGATAAGAATCTAAATTGGAGAACTTTTCTATCGTAACTAAAGGAGAACAATCACTACTCCCATAATCACTAGACAAACTTATGGGATGATCATTTTTATTGGTCAAGGTAAAGTAAATACTGGAAGTTATGAAATAAACTCAGGGTAAAGAATGGTAGCTGGAAGAAGTAGAGTCTGGCGAAGAATGTGAAGGTTAAATGTGGAGTGGAAATCTTTGTTCGGGAAAAAGGAAAACACTTAAAGAAATGCTCTTAAAAAGAGAAGAAATTACTCTTGCAAATAGAAACTGACTCTCATGAATGGAGAAAGTTTTTCCAAAAGTCAAGAGCCTATTATATAAAGGAGAGAGAACAACAAACTAGATCAATAGGAAATATGAGGTTACAAATCAACAACTAAATTTCACCTAGAAAATGCAAACAAACTCACACTCGAATATCCTACGGGAAATTGCCATACCCTAACTTATGAGCTTAAAGCCACGTATCTTAAAAAAACAACAAGAAATTTCAATGATGGGAGAGCATTTAACGTGATTGTTCCCCAATATTTTTTGAAACGGTTATATGACCTTCCTACTTCTCGATATGGTTGAATATAATCACCAGGGGCTGGCCACAAATTTGAAATACTTCCCTACTAACACTCACCCGACAAACCTTTAGGGCAACTGTTTCGGGTCAGCTAAAGGCTAATACGAAGGGCCAATCATACATGACCCAACCAAGATTACCCAACGTATATAGTCAGCACACATGAGGTTCAATGGATGCTGTTATGATCTTCATTTTTTACTATACTCATCTTGGACTCTGTAAATAACTTGGGGCGTTAGAGTGCTAACTTTGTAAGTCCATCATGTGTCACTGTATCGGAGATCAGCATCATCGATTCCAGGGTCCAGCATCCTCAGTCAACACCAATTTTGGTTCTTATATGAAACAATATCATTGACTTATAATTTGGTTTCACCATAGCCGTTGCACTCACTATCTTCACAAATCTCATATTTCTTCTATTGATTTCCCTTCTTTCTTTGACTTCGATCATTGCAGTCTGTTTTGTTTCTTTAACTATGTTTGTTGATAATTTCTCAAGTACAAAAAATGGTGGTAGTTCTTCATCAAACGCCAACAAATGTTATTAGAATGATACATTGAACTATTACTCATGCACCCTAATGAAAATACAACAATTGTTAAAAATGTTATTTAAATTCAGGCCATTCAATTTTGATTCAATGAAAATGCGAAAAATTTGTGATCGTAGGATCTGATTTCATCTTTTGCTTAGTCATACTCATTATATAATTTTTGGTTAAATACACTTTATCCCCTGCAATGTGAGGGGATTTCGGTTTACCCCTGTAAAATATTTTTTTTGGATTCCCCCTTGTAATGTTTAGATTATGTTTCTTTGGCGACGTGGCAACTATGAAATCTTCATATATGATGACTTGACAGTTCACGTGACATTTTATTTAATCCATTAAAATCTACGTGGATTTGTTTTATTATTATTTAAAAAAATGTTTTTATTAATATTTTATTATTATAATG